CTTGTGTCGCTAAAGTTTCGTCGGAACGAAGTTACGGAAAGTTAATTAATAAACGGAGACGTAACATTAATATGCATCTATTATCTATACATAATGTTATAAGTTATGTTTTTAATATTGTAACTTAGAAGTCACACCATGTTAGATCAAGTTACTCTTAACATATTCAGGAATACTAATTAACTAGAGGCTTTGCGAAATATCTAGAACAAGAATTAGATCATAAATACGGATGAGTTATGCAGTCAATTGGCTAAGTAAGGTTGTAGTGAAAAAATGAAGATCAAGAAGATACAGAGTTATTTTCTAGCTGGTAGGATGAATCAGTCAGGATGTTTACATTTTTGGATATGTGTTAGCTATCGCACATATTGAGTTACTTTGTACAGATAAATAATGGCTGGAGACGGCTTGAATGGGTAATGAAGAAAAACTTTAATATAAGTTTAACATAACAGCAAATGTACAACGTTTCGACAAGGTTTTGTCATCATCAGGTACAAAACCTTGTCAAAACGTTGTACATTTGCTGTTATGTTAAACTTATATTAAAGTTATTCTTCATTGCCCATTCAAGCCGTCTCCAGCCATTATTAAAGCATTCCATATTTAGATAATGAATTTTATGCTACTGAGAAAGGATTTAAAGACATTATGAGACAAATTATTATGATTGTGATTTAGCGACAGTATGCACCACCAAAATCTTATGGAGGAAACGTGTTTTTCATTGTGTCAAATACTGCCATAGGATTTGTTTTAGTCACTGCTTAAAGTTCGTATATCTTTGCCTATCCTCACATTTCCCGATTCTCAACGTTTGCGACTATTGTTGATGAATTTTCTTTCTTGCAGTTGTGTATTTAGTTGTACTTCCATTATAACTCTTTCCAACGAAAAAGAATCATAAATTTCCAGTTTATGTTTTTATTAAAGTTTTGAAAATAATGAATTTTTATTTATTTCAAGGATATACTTAAATCCTTAATTCACATCAATAACAAAAAGGAGAAAGACAGTTTAGAACAATTTCTCAAAATTAAACTTCTGGCAGCATCTGAGTAATTTGAGGCAATAACATTTGGAATGTGTCCCATTGAGAAGCTCCCTCTATTGTCAGATTTTTTCTTCATTTTTTAAAAATATTTTTCATAGATATTTTATTATTGGTTGATTAATATTCGTCATTTCTCTAATTATTTAATCGTTTTATATAGTTCTTGTTTTTTTTTGTAATCTTTACCTATTAAAAATTGTAAAAAATATTTATACTATGATTAGAATATTTATTTGAGCTTTATATATGTGATTAGCGAACATTTTCCTTTATGTGGAGTTTCTCTGCCATCTTGTGAGTAATATTGGTACTTACATGGGAAACTTAAAAGAAATTAATGAAAGTTGTTACATATTATAACTTCCTGCTGTGCAGAAAACAACATTGAATTTGTAATATTACAGTTTACAGAGTTTGTCAAAATAGAACTTGGGACATAGTTGTGAAAGATTAAATTCTCAGGTTTAATGTTTGAAACAACATTTTATTAAAATTGAAAAGCTTTTTAACATTTAAACGTTTAGTCAAAAAAGAAAATCCAAAAAGAAATTTGTTTTTTATTTGATTCCAAGGCTTGTCCCTAATCGAAACTGATACAAGTCTATCTTTATTATCTCCAGGATCATTGAAGGCCAGATTGTTTGGTTAGAAGTAGAAATAAATCCTATGTTATCTCGAGAGCTGGTTCATAGAAACCAAAATTACATTCTCAATTTGTAGTTGTAAGTCTTAAAAATCCCAGTGACATTTAATATGTAGTAATGGTTTCAGTTTGTTTTAGAATAATTATTTTAAATGTTTTCCTCTCAAATGTTCACAATTAATATGTAGTAATGGTTTCAGTTTGTTTTAGAATAATTATTTTAAATGTTTTCCTCTCAAATGTTCACAATTAATATGTAGTAATGGTTTCAGTTTGTTTTAGAGTAATTATTTTAAACTTTTTCCTCTCAAATGTTCACAAATTAATTATAAAATTTAAGCCTCATTTTAAAACCTGCCTACAGTATTATTATCTTATTGTTATTAGTTTCACATTTGTTATAAAGATGTTAAACTGTATAAATTAAAAAATCTTTCAAAGACCCTAAGCACAACATTGTTGCTGAAAAATGTTTAACATTCTAGAGTTCCCTGAATAAACTTTCAGAAATAGTGTTAATTCAGTATATGTATTGTCTAAACTTTATATTAGCATTCTTCACCATTTGCCATCTGTGTTTTGCCAGTCGCTTATGCAATTTGATTGGTATGTGGTCAACATTGATAACGAAAGATGTTTTTTGGGAGCTGTATGTTCTATTACAAGAGTTTTTAAAGAAGTCGTATCTTTACATTAATAATGATGTTGCTAAGTCAAATAATATTTAAACTAATATAATCGGTTCTTGTGTAGGAAAATCTTCAAAGACAGCAGTTCAAAATTTAAATAATTATGTTGAATTAGCTGTGTAGTTTTCTTTCTAGTCAGTAGCTTTCTTTTGAAGGAAGTGGCCAGTTTAATTTTCGTTTTGGGGAAATAAATCTAATGAAACTGATAAATTTAAGCACTTCAGCCTTAAATAACCGAATTCAAATTTGACTAAGAAGAACATATAATAACATTTTAATTACTACAGGTTACTGTGAATGAGGTCTTTTTCTCAGACCTTGTCAGTTTACTGTCCTCAAAATTTTGCTTAAAATACTGCGTATGTGTGTGTCGGTCATTTTAAAAATCACATTGTCGGAAGGTGACATTGTTAACAAGCATCAGTCTTATTGTGATGTTTTACCACAGTCTTTAAGCTCAAAGGGATCGCACCAAACTTTACTGAAAATAAATTATTCCCAGAGAGAGTTACAAATTTCTTTGTTTTAATTTTATTCTTGGTAAGTTTAAATTGTACAGAATTCAAAAGAGGAACAAGGTCTAACATTTGCTAAATATTAATCCTCTGGTGAAACTAGTGAAAGAAAATGGATTTTGATAGTGCAGAACTGAAAAAAGCCTGTAGGATATTACAAGGTTTGATCTTTTGAAGCCAATGATGTGTTCCTTCGTTTCTGAATTCTGTTAATCTTCATGACTCCTCTCATTAGTTAAAAGGTTGACAACCCTTGCAGCTCCTATGTCGTAAGGCTTTATTCCTGAATCTGAAATTATGTGACAATATGATCCAATTTCAAATTCCGTGCTCCTGCATACATCTTCCTTAACAAAAATTTCTCGTTGCTGCAGCTATGTAGGGTTAACTTGGCTGAAGTGGAAATAGTTTGTTTTTTATATAGGTTTACTTGGCAATTCCTTAGTATTGTGTTGTTTTTCCAGAATTTCTATCACATACTACAGGGATTTAGACATTTTGGCAATAAAGGTAAACAAAACACGAGTCTCTACTCTATAGATAATTATAGAAAATGTTTCATTTCAGCCAAAGTTTCAGCATGAAGCTGCAATGGTGGAATGTTGGCTGAAATCATCTTTTTTATCATTATTATCTGTAGAATAAAGGTAATTTTTTTTCTAACTTTAATGCTAACATTTTTTAAGTATGTAATTAAATGTAAAATATTTACGTATACTGTATTTTTTTGTACAAATAAATATTCAGTCTGAACAGTCATCATTGAAAAAAATTCATTTATTAATTTTGATTATGTATAAATGTAGGTATGTTATGTGTAATTGTTTTACATATAAAAGGATGTTATAATTTGAAGAGTAAGTTATTGGTCATATAATACATGAATCTGTGGTGTAATATACATTAAAAAATACAAAATGTCGCATATAGAGAAAGACTGTATGTGATGTAGCATTTTATATAAAGTAAATTAAGAAAACCTGAATTCCCCAACAAATCTTAACTTCAGTGTATCAACAAAGTTAAAGTATAAATTTTAAAACAACTGCAAATTATAAAAACCAAAATATGATTGTTCCAGAAAATAACTTGACTGTTTTTCTTTAGTAATAATTTCATTGAAAAATTCTCTGTTAATTCTGATATTATTTCCTTACTGCAGTTTAAAATTGTCTCAAATTTAAAAAAGTAAACTTTTTGGTTAATTAATTTTTTTGTTTCAATGTTGTATTTCTTTTTAATAGAATTTGTAAAATCTTTCATGTTTAATTAATGAAGCTTGCTTGCTGTGTGGGCTTTCTATAAAACAATTATTGCTGATACCAAGAATCACTTTTAGTGAGTAGATGTTTTAATAATGTGTATTTTTAATCATATGTAAGGAAAAACAATAGTTACGTATACATAAATGTTAGAAGAGACATTTCATCAGTTTAGGATCAAAACTTGCCTTACCCTGTCGGTAAGATTGTACCGGCTGTTTTTCATATACACTCCAAAACTTATTTCCAGTGAAAGAAAAAAAGGGGGGAAAAGCAGATATATCTTCCCACTGTAAAAAGAGGATGTTCTGAATTGGTCGTTGACCAATACCTAAATATCATTTAAGTAACTTGTGTATTTGGAAAAGAACGTTCTATTTATGTTTAAAATGATTACAATAAATATGTTTTTAACAAATTACTTTTTGTGTTATTACTTTCTTCACATTTATTGTGTATGATGTAATTTATGTGTTTAATTCAACTAATAGATTTTTATAATTACTGTCACATTCGTAGAATTCATTTAAACAAATTTCATTATTGTTGAATAAATCAATTTTAAAGCCTTTTCTGTACTTCTCTTTTCATTCTTATGTTTACTTTTAATGTTATGTTTATGGTGTTTTAGTAGTTTTATGTAAGTTTATTTAATTAAAATCATCAAGCCAAGGACTCCCAAATACAAATTATTGTGCAATAAAAACTGAAAAGAGAGAATTGGCGATAACTATTTAAATGAATGTGAATCGTGTAAGATACCGCCCTCCTAAAATATAGTTTTTTTTTAACTTTTGACAATAGGCATTCAGCGAGATGCAAAACTTAGGGATACTTTTTATAAAATTATCTTTATTTTATGTGAAATGGCAATTGAATTAGCATTATTGACCTTGTTAATTAATAAACTTTCTAAACGATTCATGCGATAAAGTGGCGTGGAAAGTGGGTGTGGGGGGGGGGGGGCAAGAGAATGCATAAAATTCAAACCATAACCTAAGAGCTAACAGTGCCTTAAAGCGAACCATGGTTTGAAGCCGCTATGGGTGCGAATTTGGCACACGTTTTCTCGCTTTTGTAATATATATGACCCTTGTGAAGAGGGATTCCGTATTTTAAGTTTGCCCCGACCTCCCTTTAGCCTATGGATGGGCCTGTATTGGCCAGAAATGCTCATTTGAATCACAAAACTCATTTGTCAATATTTATTGTTTTTGAAATACTTTTATGTACCCTAAGCCTAACTTGCGACCTCATAAATATCAGCAGGCGAAAATTACGTAACATTTTGATAATATAATACTAGGTTAGCAAACAACGATTTATATACATGAGGAAAAATTTTATTGTAGGTGGAACATACTACTTGAAAAAGACAGACCAGGGCTATGTCGAAACAGGTTTCACCATTTATAAAATTCTTTCTGTTAAACTGGTATAACATGAACTAATAAACAGTGGCCCTGTTTACTAAATTTTGATTAATATTTTTTTCGTGAAAAAGACAGTTTATTATCATTTCATTCTCAGAATAAGGTATGTTAATAATGAAAATATAAGTACATTATAATTTTATTTTTTGTTGTATACAAATGCAATAGACTCGTAATAGAAAATCTACATTGTTGTAAAGCCACTTATGGCATATTGTCGAAAGTATCACAAAATTGTTTTAGCCTCATATATGGGAAAACTAGATAATGGTTTATTTGTTGTTATAAGTTGTTAAGTACAAAGCTGCACGATGGCTGTTTGTGCTTAGCTCACTGTAGGTATTGAAACTATATGTTTTAGTCATATATGCCTTAAAACATTGCTGAGCCACTGGGTTCAGGTCCAAGGAACCGCTTGAATATTACGTTTTATATTTCAATCTTTGAATTACTTTAGAAAAGGTTTAATGTATTTAATTGATCTTTATTTAGAATGGCTAGTTTTAGTTCTTAAATTAGAATATCGAGAAATCAAAATAGTATTTCATATTTAGGCAATACATTTTAACCAATTCAGAATATTTTGAAGGGCAAATTTATGCGTTGTAAATGGACAGATTCTTATTTTATCGATATTTACATTATATATTTTAATTGTATGGAGAAAATAACATTTTGAATGTTTAGCAAAGATGGCGCGGTACTTTTTTTCTCTTGTATTTACGTGTACGAAAAAAAAATAAACATTGACTGTGTGGGAGGTTACTCATTGCAGGTAACAGAGGAGAGGTAAAGTTTGATGCGATTTTAATAGTTTCATTTTGAGTTTACTTACTAATTATAAGTATTAGTTCATTACAATTTATAAATTTTATAGTAACAAGAAATACTATCTAGAACAGGTACGACGTTTCGAAATACGCAAAGACTTGTGCATTTAACTTCTAGTTTTACTAAGTTGTGCGATAATTTTTAAAGTAAAAGTAAAAGTGATTGAATCGTCGTACCTGTAAATTCTAGCTTTCGTTACTGTAAAACTATTTTGTAATTTGTATGTATTATTATCATTAAATGTTTGTCATATCCCCCAAAAGAAAAAGTACCATAATGTTGTAACATGTTCTATTGTCAGGTAGTTTTTTTTTATTGTTTGATAAAAGTAAGGTCAAGTCCAGTTCACTTAACAATAAGATATTTCATTCTTTCTTAACGTTTGTTACAGGCTATTTCTACTTGTACGCAACTGTAGACATAAGTTCTCAAAGTTTCAACTTTCAACAGTATTTCTTTGTTAACTGACTGATTAATTAAATAGCCTACAAACACTAATTATGTATGATCACTAAATAACTTCTTTGAACACTTATTTATTATTCAAATGAAAGATAATTGAATTCTAAATCAGTGAACTTGCTGGCACTATTTTACTCATACTCATATACCAAGTTTACTAGTTCTTAAACTCATGCACCGTCTAGCAAATATTTAAAATAAAATTTTGAAAATATAGCTTTCTGGATTGTGAAGTTCCTTTGAACAATTCTCATATAAAATAAACACTAATCTGTCCAATCACCAGTTCTTTTTGGTTGTGGTCTGTTCCAGAACCCATGGTACACAGATGGGATGGCCTCTTGTCATCACTTGTTGTCCTGGTGGCTCTATCCTTGTTAAGCATCTGGAAGTGGTCTCAATAGGAATCCTGAACACCTCAACAAGTTAACTTTTTGCTGACATGTTCTTCTCTGGAGTTTCACAGTTGGCTCCTCTCTCACTTAGAACTTCCAAAGATGATCATGGTAAATGAGCATTTGCTTGGATTGCCTGTCTTTCTGGATTCTTTAAACTTCATCATTAATTCTTTTCAGTATAGCATGTGGCCATCTCCAGCACCTACCAAACTTTGGAGTTTGTCCTTCCTCAAAAAAGGAATGATTCAGCCATACCGTTTCATTATGATGAAATCTGGTGTAATCAAGATTAACATCATAGTGACTTCATTTAAGTCTTTCTCGGGTAGAATCATGTTTGACATCATTAGTCCTCAGATCCAAGAGAGCTCTTCCAACCATTATTCCCTCAGGACAAGCCAGAGTGTTTAGTTCCACTATGCCTTAGTTACTAGATGTAGATTTATTGCTACTAACTCTTTGTATAAATATTTCACTTCTTGATGGTACAATGACCACCCTCCCTGTAGTCAAAGGACATTCAGCTTAAGTTATCCTAACCTTACATCCATTTCTTCACTTGAAGTTAGTTCTTCATTGTCAGTTACCCACTCATCATGAGGTATAGAGAAACTCCCTACAGCAAAGATAACTTTCCTTTTGTTGAAACATTGTTTTCTTGCTGTTTGCATCAATCAAACTTCTTTTTTAATCTTTGGAGACAGTTTGCCATCTTTCATTAACAAATCAGTTGAAACGATTGTAGCTGTAGTACCACTGTCAATCAAAAAAACTACAAGGTTTTTCATCAATAATCAATTAGTGAACTTGTATCATTTGGGATGGATAGAATATTCCTAGCTGAATTTCACCCCATTCATCCAGCTAACTCTTGTCTTTTTTTTGTCTGGTTAACTCTTTGTTAATCTGTTTGGGTATTGTCTCTATGGCTTAATAACAGCTGTTGATTTCTTGAGTTCTCTTCTGTGATGGCCATACTTTCCACAATTATAACAATTTCCTCTTTCTGGTATTGGAAAAGTTTCTCTTTCCATATGGAATTTAATCTACAGTTCCTTGCAATATGTCCATCCAAGTTACTCTATAAACACCTATTTTATTGTGGTCTGTTTCCACCATTCTGTCTCAGTTTTTCTAAACTGTCATCAGATGGAGGAAGGAGGAGTTGGTGCTACATTACTATAAGGTCTAATGAATGCCTTTAGTGTTTTATGTGAAACTTTAATTGATTCAAGTTCCTTTGTGAACTGGAGAGCTTACTTTAAAGATGTACTCCTACTTTACTTCAACCTAATTCTCATATGCTTATCTGTTATGGCATCTGTATATTGGTCACATGTAAGCTAATCTGTAGTTTCATGTGAAGCATCGGAAAAAGATAGTTGGGCAAGCCTTTCAAAATTTCAGCTAATGTCTCTTTCCCCTGTACCATGTTTGGGAACTCTTTTTTTGGAAACTTTATTTTGGTGTGTCATTCTGAACCTGTTTGATAAGGTAGCCTGATAATGTTTAATAGTTATTATGGCTCTCAGTAACATGTTTACTTTTATGTCATTAAAGCTGGCCTTTTTTAATAAGCAATTAAATTAATAGCTTGTTGTTCTCTTTGGAAATTATTTAAAACTGATCCTGTTAAGGCTCTCATAGTACCTTTAGATCATAGTCTGATTGACCAACTAAATTCTGGAATTGGATTTGGTAGTCCAGGAAGGTCATGCAGTAACAGATTTCATAACATTAAAGATCTGATCCTACATCTAAGTTGTTCCATTCACTAAACTGCTAAACTATATTTATATACTTAAAGGCATGCCTTATCATTCAAATGTTTATCAAGTCTTTCCTTAAGCTCACTTAAATTTACTGCCTCCACAACATCCAAAGGCAACCCATTTTAAAGACCAACTATCCTGTAGAAAAATAACACTATTTTAGCTGAAGTTGACTCCTACCCTGCCAAAATTTATATTTGTGTCCCCGAGTCAAACCATACTCATCATTAAGTATGTAAAAAGGTGATGGATTGATGCATTCAGTTCCCTTAACTTGGATGGCTTAAAAGACTGATCAATCATTACACCAAGGTATTTTTCTTTAGTATCACCATTAAAGTTATTCCCATCAAAATTATACTAATAATTCGAATTATGATAATCAACATGCATTAAATTTATTATAATTAAAAGTTATCTGTCATTTATTTGCCCAACTCACCAAATGATATAAATCATTTTTAAAGCAGCAGCATCATCCTGATAGCAACACCCTAAACCTTAATATCGTAAGTAAACTTGAGTAATTTATTGAACATTACTTCATTTATAATACTGATGTAAATCAAAAAGAGCAAAGGTCCTAGCACTGAGCCCTGAGGTAATCCACTTTGACTAAACTCCATTTATAACAACTCTGCTTTATTCCATCCGGGTACTATTCTATCCAGTCAGCTGACTTATCCCCCACACCTATAGAAATGTCTTTTTTTTAACAAACAAACTTTTATATGGCACCTTTTCAAATGCTTTCTGAAAATCCAGATCCACAAAATCCATCCTCCATCTATATGAACAGTAACCTCTTGAAAGAATGTCGGAAGGTTATTCAGGCAAGATTTTCCCATGACGAAACCTTGTTGTCTTTCAAACAAAATTTTAAACTTTATTAAATGACTTTACAAAGCATCTGTTATCAGACTTTCAAATATATTACCCACCACTGATGTAAGACTAATGGGTCTATAATTACAGAGACTTTTCTTAATCACCTCCCTTGAAAAGAAGAATAGTCAACTTCCAATCTTTTACAACCCACCCTCTATTCAAGGACTTAAAAAATAGTAGCAGTTGGCTCACATGTTCAATCCTTAACCTTCTTCAAACCCTTGGAGAAATATCTGGCCCGGGAACCTTAACTTTCTTTAAAAAATGGCATAATAGTAGTAGTGGTAATATGTGTAAACTAAGTTGACCAAATATTCCATATTCAATAGTAGTCTTTCATGTTGGAATTAGTAGGTAGACTCAGAAAGAGGTGTTACTAATCTGATGTTTACATTTACCAGTTGTTTTTCCAAATGTATTATACTGTCATTGTTATTCGTTTCTACCTCATTGATTTATCTTGTGTAATTCAGTTTTGTCATTACAGCTTTTCTCTACTTCACTGATGTTTCTCTGTACTTTTTACAATCTTGTTGTTGAAACCCCTCTGTACATCCTCCAATATTTTTTGTGGGGATTTTGTTTTAATTAACATTTATATTTGGTCTTAATTCGTTAAATATTATGTCTCTTTCTTTTAACTCTTCTCTTAAATTTCAGTTTCTTACTTCTTAATCTTCTTTTAATTTTATATCCTGTTCTTCTTTATCTTCAATTTAATTTTATGTATCTCTCTTTGTGGCTTTCTTTTA